AACATACAACCATCTTATACAGAATCTCCATAATGTACCATAGACAAATTTGTCAGTCACTCACAAAAAAACTAAGAGTATAATTACTGAAATGTTTAAATCTTGCACTTACCAACCTCCACAACACTAGAACAGTTGGGATCTGTGAAGCCATCTGGACACTCACAGGAAAAGGACGCACCACCCAATTCTGACAAACAGATACCTCCATTTTCACATGGATTGGGATCACAAATATCACCTGAGGAATAAAGAAACAGAGATTGCCATCTATTTTTTTTTTTTTTTTTGTCTTAGGCATTGAAACATACTAGTTCACATATCCCACTGACGTTTCTTTGGCAAAGTCATTTTACTATTAAGATTTATGTATAACCCTTTTGAAACCATGTACATTTAAAAAAAATAGTAAGCAACATAATAAAAACTAAACTGTATAATTCAAACATTGCATCTGAAAACTCTTAATATAGTTTCAGGTTCTGTCATTACATGCAAATGAAACGTTGTCTAATTTGTTAAAAACTATTAACCTAAATATCTGTGGAAGGCTGGTTTCATTAATTAATAAATCCCCTCTCTGTATCCACGTACTTTGCTCTTTAACTTTATAGTTCCTCTCACCAAAGGGGTAGGGTTTATTTCCAGATCCCTAAAATCTGGGCTTGTCCATGTGACTTGCTTCAGCCAGTAAGATGTTAACAGACTGGAAGCTAGCAGAGATTTGAAAAAGCACTTGAATATGTCGTTTTCTTTCTTGGAACCCTGCTGCTGCCAAAAGAATGAATTCAGGAGAGCTTGCTTGAGAGAGGTGAGAGAAACTTGGAAGGATAAGAGAGAAACTGCCTCAGAGAAATAAGTTGTGCCATAACAAAGACCTAAAATATGTGGCCTTGGCTTTGGTCATGAGTGGCAGATGAAATCTGGAAAAGCACCAATGGAATGGATACACAAGGCTAGAGAAATGACTACGTATGATATGTAGAGAAGCAATTGGTATAGCTGTCCCCTGAGGTAACTTGGGAGATAGACAATGTATGTGATGAACTTTGGGATATGAGTAATGAGATTTCCAGGCCAACTGTTAAACCATCAGTTGGTTCTTAATACCTGTATATGATAAAAGTACCACAAGAAAGAGACATGCTAAATAAAGAACCAGTCAGTTTGGAAGTAAAGAGAAGGAATCTAGAGGGACCAGGCATAACTTATTTCTCTTGTGCTAGAAAATACAACTGTTTCTCTACTCCAGGCTCTCAAGCTAGTGAATGGTCAAATGCAGAAAGACATGGCCCCAACACAAATATCAGATTAGGGATGTGGCTATAGCACTTTCTTGAGAACATTTAAAATAATACAAATGGATCATGAAAGACCCTTTCAGCTAAATAAAGAGCTTCTACAGATCTTAAGGATCGTCCCTGAGCAGGCTAACATACCCAAAGTAACCCTGATTAAGTCCAGAGTGAAAAGCAGGCTTCAGACAGAATTGTGGGTATGGCTTTACTGCACAATGAGGATTTGAATCGAATTTATAAAAGCCCATACAGTTTTTAAGGGAGCTTTGTAGGTAAAAGTGCCACCTCCTGGACTAAACGAGAACGAGGATTTTCAAAATTTAAAAAAGCATCTGGGCCCCAACTTGCTATCATTTTGCATTCCTTAGGAACTTTATTTCTTTGTAAGAGCTTCATGTGAATTATTTCACTTCTTTAGATTAATCACTTTAAACTGTCAGAAAATGAAAATAGAGATTAAGGTGTATGTCAATTTTTTAAAATTTCAAAATACTAATATTAAGGGTTACAAATGTTTTAGGTTACATGAATCACTTTTGTAATGCTTGAGACCCAGCTATAGGTGTGCCCATTACACCAATAGTGCTCATAGCACCCATTAGATAGGTTTTTTTGCTCCTCCACGCCCCTACCCCCCACCGGTTGATTTCCACTGAGTTTTACTTCCCTCTGTGCACATGTGGGCTCATCGGCTAGTTCCAAATTAATAGTGAGTACATGTAATGTGTTTTTTTTTTCCCATTCTTGAGTTACTTCACTTAGGAGAATGGTCTCCAGTTCTACCCAGATTGTTGTCAAAGGATAATTCAACTTTTTATGGCTTAGTAGTACTCCATGGTATACATATACCACATTTTATTTATCCACTAATGAATCAGTGGGCACTTGGGTTGATTCACATCTTTGCAATTGTGAATTATGCTGCAAGAAACATTCAAGTACAGGTGTCTTTTGACAAAAAGCCTTCTTTTCCTTTGGGTAAGTGTCCAACACTGGGATTGCTGGATGATATGGTAAGTCTACATTTAGTTCTTTGAGGAATCTCCATGCTGTTTTCCATAGAGGTTGGACTAATATGCAGTCCCACCAATGCTGTGGAAGCATTCCTTTTTCTCTACAGTCATGCCAATATCTACTGTTTTGAGACTTTTTAATAAAAGCCATTCTGACTGGGGTAAGGTGATAATCTCATTATGGTTTTAATGTGCATTTCCCTGATGATTAGTGACCTTGAGCATTTTTTCATGTTTATTGGCCATTTGTTTTTCTTCTTTTGAGAAATTTCTGTTAATATCTCTTGCCCATTTTTTTTTTTTTTTTTTTTTGAGACAGAGTCTCACTCTGTTACCCTGGCTAGAGTGAGTGCCATGGCGTCAGCCTAGCTCACAGCAACCTCAAACTCCTGGGCTCAAGTGATCCTATTGCCCCAGCCTCCCGAGTAGCTGGGACTACAGGCATGTGCCACCATGCCCGGCTAATTTTTTCTATATATTTTTAGTTGGCCGATTAATTTCTTTCTAATTTTAGTAGAGGCAGGGTCTTGCTCTTGCTCAGGCTGGTCTCGAACTCCTGAGCTCAGACAATCCGCCCACCTTGGCCTCCCAGAGAGCTAGGATTACAGGCGTGAGCCACCGCGCCCGGCTCTTGCCCATGTTTTAATAGTGTTCTTTTTTTTTTTCTCTTGCTGATTTGCTTGAGTTCTTTCCCTTTATTTCATGTGTAGCTTGAGAATATTTTCTCCCATTCTGTGGGTTGACTATTTGCTCTGTTGATTGTATCCTTAGTTGTGTAGAAGATTTTTAGTTTAATCAAATCCCATTTATTTCTTTTCATTGTTCCATGACTGCCACTAGGGTCTTAGTCATAAATTCTTCACCTAGACTGATATCTAGGAGAGTTTTTCCTATATTTTCCTCTAGAATTCTTATTGTTTCATGCCTTAGATCTAAATCTTTTATCCATCTTGAATTAATTTTTGTGAGTGGTGAGACGTGGGGGTCCTGTTTCATTCTTCTGCATGTGGCTATCTGATTTTCCCAGTACCATTTATTGAATGGGGCTTCTTTTCCCTAGTGTACATTGCTGTCTGCTTTGTCAAAGATCAGCTGGTTGCAGGTAGATGTTTTATATCTGGGTTCTCTGTTATGTTCCATTCATCTACATCTTTATTTTTGTACCAATACCATGCTGTTTGAGATACTATAGTGTGGTAGCATAGTTTGAAAAGGCAGGTAATATGATGCTTCATGATTTGTTCTTTTTCCTTAAGATTGCTTTGGCTATTCAGACTTCTTTCTGGTTCCATATGAAGCGTAAAATTATTTTTTCTAGGTCTGTGAAGTATGACATTGGTAATTTGATGGGGATTGTATTGCATTTGTAAATCACTTTGGGTAGTATGGACATTTTAACAACAATATTCGCCCTATCCATGAGCATGATATGTTTTTCCATTTGTTTGTATCCTCTACGATTTCTTTCCTCAGTGTTTGGTAGCTCTCTTTGTAGAGAACTTTCACCTCCTTGATTAAGTATATTCCTATGCATTTTATTTTCTTTGTAGTTATTGTGAATGGTATTAGGTCTTTGATTTGACTCTTTGCTTGACTGTTAATAGTATATAGAAATGCTACTAATTTATGTACATTAATTTTGTATCTTGAGACTTTGCTGAAATTATTTGTCAATTCCAGGACACTATTGATGGAATCTTTGGGTTTTTTTAATATACAAGATCATATTCTCAGTGAGGAGAAACAGTTTGACCCCCCTTTTCCCAATTTGGATACTCTTAATATTCTTCTCTTATTGGATTGCTCTGGCTAGGACTTTCAGCACTATGTTGAATAGAGGTAGTGACACTGGGCATCCTTGTCTTGCTCCAGCTCTTGGGGAAAATGCTTTCAATTTTTCCACATTCTGTATGAAGTAGTCCCAGCAAAAATTGATTAGGATTCTCTTGACCCTTCATAGAGGTAGCTACAGACAGGGAAAGCAATACAGGCACTGTTCGATCCCAAATCCAGGTAATAAATACCAGATACTGAAACAAGAAATTAAAATCCCCCAAATCATTATGCATCCCCATCCCCATCGCCAGGTAATCAAACTAAAAGCAAAGATGTTATTGTTGAAATTTCATAAGAAGAGTCAATCACCAGTTTAATGTGATAATAGCTCTATGCCTTTGGTGTAAGCAAAGCAGCATAGCTTCATAAAGTCAGTCTAACAACACTGTCATCTAATAACTCCATGTATTATATGAGGATGAGTATTACCCAAACTTTTTTTTTGATGACATATCAACCATAATTCCTGTATTTTCAATAGTACCAAAAAAAGGAGCTACATTCCCCAGTCCAGTATCTGTGATGGAAGCAATGTTAATAGATGAAGGTAAATTGTAGATGATTACATTGATTAATTTACGCTGACTGAAAAACAATGTCTACAAGAGAAAAGCAAGGCATGAGCAATATCCTCAACATTCTCAAGTATACCCATTTGTTATTTACACATTTATCCACAATCAAGAACCTTTCATTTGGATCCCACTTTCTCCTATAGCAAAATTCCTGCACAGTATATCAACTGAGGTGGGCATACAGTCTTGATATACCCAGGGAAACATAAGGCCATTGTGAAGAGTTTTGGGTACCTTCATAAAGCTTTCTTGGCACCCGTGCTGCTCTTTACAGATGATAATACTAAATCTAGTCAGTTTTCTATCAGGTGTGTGTGCCACTCATGTAATGTTTCTGTCGTCAAAATGAGACAGGACTATCTGTTCACCTCTCATTATACCTTACAGATGCCAGCTGTTGTTTAGCTGACCTGTTTTTCTCTTTTGTCCTTGAAGCTTTTGTTCTTCATTTTTCCTTCTGTCTACTTATTTCTAATACATTATAAAAATTGTGAGCACTTATTTTTTATCTTACCTGCA